CAACATGCAGGTCTCGGGTTTATCTTCGATATTTTTCAATTTTCAATTTATTTTCCGCCTGAAAATGACTCAGTTTTGAGTCGAAACCTCCCGGGTTTTAGTGTTGTATTTTTAGATTGTTTCGCGTTTTTTTCATGTTCCTGACTAACCCACAAAGACACCTGTCTTTTTTGAAAAACTGATGGTTAACATTCGTTGTTTCTTGAGCCGAGAGATTCCCCCATCACTCCCTCCCTCCAATGAACAATGACCCTTTATTCATTTAAATAATGTCCAAAAGTGAAGTAGAATAGAACGTTCCGCAAGGAACAATTCACTTACTGAGTATTAATTTCTTTGAACACCCCGCTAGGATAGATTATCAAAGAAAATGATAGGGCAGATAGAAATCAAATGAAAATTTACGAACTAATAATTATTTAAACTCTTTTCCAGCGTTGAAAATTTTGCAACGCCGTAAACTAAAAGAGTATCATTATGCTTACCAATACCTTATCACCGCAGGTTCTATGTTGGGGAGTGGCACCAACAGAAGGCTTGCGTATTGGAATATAGACCTGCTTCTATGCATTACAAGGAATAACGTCATTTGAGTATTTGGATGTTGCCAAAGTTCCCCTGATAAAATGTTCTCTTATTTATGAGAAACATTTTAAACATTCTCTCTTAAAACATTTTCGATACCCTACATTATATTGCAAATTTTGCCTGAAAACTTTGAAGAAAAACGTCAATGTGGTCTAGGATATTTGTATTCTGGGAGATTTGCAACGTCGCAAATCGAGAAACGTGGCAACCTCTCGTTTTACAGCCGATGGATGCGGGAAAGGGGCACAGTCTATCATAGCGCCTGAATGCAACTATTCGTGTTCGATGGATGCGCGTGTTGCATAAACACAAATTGAAGGCGCCGGCTTGGCCGCGCCGAAATGCGCATGTTGCAACCACAGTGAAGGCGAAAATACCACATCGCGGCAATTTGGCAACGTCTGGTTTGCTCATACGGCGTTTTTCTCTAGCACGGCAGTATAATTGCTACGGTTTTATTGCAGATTCGTGAGTTCGATGGGGTAAGAGGACTGCTCAAATTACTCCGAATCTCGGTAAATTTTTCCATTTCACAGTAGAGCAAAAACAGCTTGACGGTACTTAAATGTAGCGCAAAATTTTCGGCTCTTCACATAGATTTTAATAGCCTTACGTGGTTTTTGCTCAGCAAGGCAGACATGCCTATACCACACCGTTCTGAGAAAAATGTCGGTTTTTCTGTTTTCTGGGAATTCCACTCATGTAGTCGTTGTGCAAATTCTGTCCTGTCACAGTGCTACATTCTAACGCAATAGACAACGCCTTCTTTCCGCCGGCGCATTTCATTTATTGCATTGAATTTACTTAGGCTTGGAAAACTGACGGCAATTTTACTTCTCTTGTTTGCGCTGTCTGAGTAAACATATTTGCAAGGTCGAAAAGGAAAAAACGTCCTGATGGATACAAACACTTTTCTACATATTTGAAAGCACTCAAAGACCCCCATTTTGTACTCGAGCCGTTGAGAATTTCCTCTCTTCAATGATCAATGACGAGAAAACTAATTATGACTGATCTACAGTCTTCTAAAAAAGAAACAGTTTTACACCTGTGATAAATTAATGGTAAACCCTAAAGATCGCATTTGGCTTTTTCGTTAAAAAAAAAAAAAAGCATCGTAAGCGTGGTTAAATGAACAGATACCTTGCAAATATTTGATGCAAGTCTTCGTTCTGTTTTATTTATACCTTCTTTTCTTTCTTTGACTCGTACAACGGTTAAATATTCGGGCTAAACCTTGAACGCAACATTTTCATGAGAAAACAATGCCTCCAATCGCCTGCTCGTTTAGACATATGAGTCATGCGTGGGGGATTAACAGATCCATACAACGAGTTTTCCCCCTCCTTTTCATTCTTTTTTTTTTCATAAAAAAAGGAAAAAACAGTAAAATAAGAACACGTTACCATTGTTGCAGAGTTTAATCTCAGAATGTCAGCATGATTCCGATTCTGAGTGTGAGTACTTTGCACAAGTAGGTTCAACTAGAGTTTGAGTTTTCCTCATAATCTCGAACCGGTTTTCGGAACCTTGAATGTAAGTTCACGGAGTGTAATTTGAGGTCGAATACGTTTGAATTCAAGCGCGAGACCGCTAAAGAATGCAGTTAGATTGCGTGGGCGTATTCATTAAAAGATCGTATTCGATAGTGGTTCGATGTATCGTTTGGTTCAAAACAATAGAACATAACCTCAAACAATAATTTTAGGATTTATGTTGGGAAAGCTGAAAATGAGAAAATTCCTAATAGTTTAACTTTTCATAGACATATTGTATTCACAAGAATCAAAAATCTATCACAGAAAACCAGTTCCTTCAGATTTCTAAATTGACTTTTCAGGCTATGTTTACACGTTGAGCCGATCGATATCGATACAATCTCACCTGTTTGATGTATCGAATGCGATCTATAAGACGCATAACAAGAGTGATTCAGGCTCTCTTTCTTGTTATGAAGAATTAAAAAACACTCCTATTTTATATTATTTAACGCTACGAAAGTTTTGAATGTTTCTTTAGGTATTTTTTTCGCAACTTGGATATCAAAAAATGCGTATCGAGTGATAGTAAAATTTGCATTAAATTCCACGAATATGCAAACATGTAAGGAGCAAGGATTTAAACTGGTTATTTCTGATGAACATTAGGATTCAGCGCTAAATTAGAATATGATATCCGTTTCCTTCCATCACTCAGGGATTTTCCGGAAACTCGAAGTTTTCGGATGGTTGCATTTTTCAGGAAAACGGTGCATGCTGGGAACAAACCACGGTCATGTTTTTATTCGCCAAAAATACATCTTTATTAATTGCTGCAAGCTACTCTACATATTGCCTAATCCTGAGTAGTTTTTTCCTCGTAGGCGAAAGAAAACAAAACTTCATAAAACGTAAATTTAAAAGCTACGAACACTATACAATAAATTGAATTTTTAGAGCAGGTCAGTTACCTTTTATAAAGTGTTATTCAATACATTATGTAGCTAAGAAATAGGGTCTTCGCAATTTAAAGTTTATTCTGGTTTTTATAGTGCGCGTGCGCTGACGCACTAATGGATTGGATTCAGGGTATACCACTCTTCAAGTTAGGTGGTATGGTATGGTAAGGCGGCAGCGAAAATGAATAACAAGAAAAACGCCTTCAAAAAACCATGACGCAATTATGCTGGCTTGTCGGCCGTCGGTCAATCGTAAGGGGATCAATGATACATCTTCCATTTGAAGCTTGATCATGAATCTTGTCCGCGAAATCTCTTTGACTGTGGAATCCTCATTAAATAGTGGACAGTATCATATTTTAATGGTGTTGTTGCATGGAGCCGTGCTACTTGGCGCTTTATATCCACAATGTTCCGTTACCGTGACAGTGTCTGCGATACAAAAATATGGCAATCTCAATCTTGACGCTTTGGCTTAGCTATAGCAAATTGCGGTTTACACTTTGAACAAGAAAAGGTGAGAAATGGACAATGTTTGATTGAGAAGCCTGCCAAATCCGTTGCAGTACTCGATTTGACTCACTTAAAGTATTGTGTTTCTTGTGATCGGGAAAATCAAATTTCCCGTATGTAATGTATACAATTGAAACGTCAATGTCATAGTTAGGAGTTGATTTTAGTAATTTTTGATGCAAGAATCGTGTTTAACGTGAAATTATGGTTATGAAACAAGTATCAGTATGCCTTGGTAAAAATTGGCGATAGGAGCTGCGTTTCAAAATACCATAGGAGTTCTTACAGCCGACTCAAGAAGGCTATTGAAAATCATACAGCTGACTGTAGAATGCGGAGCAAATCATATAGCCGGGCTATACGAAGCTATTAAAAAGTATACAGTCGGGCTATAGTTCCTATCGCCGGGCTTTAAACTTTATCGCCATTGGCTATAAAAGGCTAAAAGAAATTGTGTAGAAATTTGTGTGCTTTGGAAATCATTAAGTTTGATACGGAAGTACTTTAATATTTACAGAACACACTTTATATTTTCCTTTAAAACTTATTTTTTTTTTTTTCATCAATTAAAATGAGAATAGTCCATACAGAGTGTGCAAACGTTTCAAAATCATGAGTTGAAAAACGCTGACTCCGCGAGATTAAATATTAGAGCCCAACACAAAGCGGAGCGGCGACGCACTGGCGCCTACAAATCTAACAGGGATACTTCACGCATTGCGCAATGCGTGAAGTATCCCTGTTAGGTTTGTAGGCGCTACTGCGCGTTTCGCGCTCTCTGCCCGCTCGCCGCGCCGCAGCGTGCCACGGCCTGAAGCAACTATTTCACACCAAAGGTATTGCACAATATCATAAAAAATTGAAGGCGCTCCAACATATTAAGAATGACAGGCATCCCTCAAAAGTACGGAGCTTTCCTCGTAAAATAAATCAAGATACTACGGTACAAAAAGAGAGCGGTAGTCCAAAAACTAACTAGGTCCTAGTATCCGTAATTAGTAACGTTTAGCATAAACTTTATCGTCTGGCTGTTGCTTAGTCGCCATCGGCTATAAAAGGCTATAAGAAATTGTACAGTCGGCTACAGAAGCTATTGGAATTCTTACAGCCGGCTTTAGGTCTATAGTATTTTGGAACACACATTCTACTGACAAATTTTACCAGGGTGTTTAAATTCGCACCTTGTGTAGTGGTCCATCGATCAGCAGCCGGATTGTTGAAACTTTATCTGGCTATGTCGGCACGATAAGACAAGACATCTGCGCCGTGTAATATTTCGATTTTCGATTCTTGTCGTACCGACATAAATTTCAACAATCAGGCTGCAGGCCCTACCGTCTGCAAGGGTCTGAGGATATCTTTCTCTGTCTCTGTTCCTGAAGAATCCAGCATTGATTGTGACCTAGATGCGTTGTGGACGAGGGAATGAATTCTTATTCTCATGCTTATTCTCTGATTTCAGATGTTGAACCGGGGGATGGGGAAATGGATTTGGCTTGGAGTGCTGTGCTGCGGGATAGCCGGAAGCGGAGGACAGAGCAACTACGCGGACCTGGGCAACAGCATTGAATTTCCCTCGCCGGCCGATGGACTCCCCGATTCGACTGTTCTCGATGGCAGGGTCACCCGACTCGATGACCTCTCGCCAATCATCGCCCTCAACAGGACCAAAGCTGCCCTCAACTGCGCCGCAGGATTCATGCAGGTACAATCATTTTATAGCTCGTTTTCAAATCAGTGCTCATTGGGAAAGCTCTTTTTCCTCTTTTTTTATCTCTATATTAAACGCCAGTGGCGTGGCGTGCTTGCGATATATCGATTGATCTGCCATTTAAACCTATGGAAGAGGATTGATAAACCCGATGTTTGCAACGAACACCTTAATAGTCGATTCTTTACCGTAGCTTCAAATGGGGAAATATCGATAATCCCTCAAAACGAGCACAATGCTCGTGCTCCTTATGTAATAACATACATAATAAAATCAGACTGATTAATTTGACATTTTTCTATTTGTATGATTTTGAATCTTTTAGATCTAATGATTTCTACACTTTTCGAGATTTATGATCCACATAGACTTTTTTATAATATCAGCCTTCATTGATGGTGTACGCCACAGTTAAAAACTAAGGTATGCTAGTTTATGAGTGTCAAAAATAAATTCAGAAAGTAGGCTCTTTGAATACCCATTGAAACGAGCACCGGTTGTATCGGCCGGCGTTCGGTTTAAAACGCCTGTTTGCACGACAGCATCGCTACGCACGCTGTGTTGCTTACCACTACAATTGAAGGCGTTTTATGTTCGGAATCTCTTCGCAGCCGAAAGGGTTCATCATTATTCTCAATCCCTTGTTTCTTTCCAAGAGACAAGAGAGGAAACGAGTGTTTTTTTAAAACTTTTTTTAATTTGAAATTTAAAAAAAAAAAAAATAAAAAAATAAAAAAATCCATGATCAAGACACCCTTTCTCGCAAAAAGACTTTGTCTGATTTAACAGTTGTTGATATCGTACTCGATATTTTAAATTAATTTTATTTGACGATATGTAATAAATCATGTAATTCAATAAAATTGATTATTTCAGGTCGAGTTGAGGTTCGACGAACCATTTTATGGTATCGTATACGCCGATTTCGATCGAGCCAGCGCGTGCAAAACCGCTGGTAGAGGAACAAACTCAACGCGGATCGAACTCCCGCTCAAAGGATGTGGAACAAAACAGGTAATTCTTCTTATTTTCGGCCAATATTTCAATAATGCCTTTTAAACTTTCGCGACTATTCACATTTAAGTATCTCCATCCAATAACTTGCATTGTTCTATAGGAAGCAAACAAAAAGGCTCACAATTAATCATTCAGAATAGGATAAAAATAGTTTAAAATCCTTCATTTCTTTTATGATCGTCCAGGATACTCGACCAGAAATCATAATTGAATCAGTGAGATCGAAAACATACCCTCGGTAACTCGAAAATGCTTAATTTTCATTAAAGACAATCAATTTGACATTAGCGCATCTGTTCCAACTCGGACCTTTCAAGTGTCCTTAAGTAATTATCTCTCGGCACCAAAAATCTTTTTCTCAGACTAACTTCTTCACTTACAGTGCAGTTTTGTGTGTGTCTTGTTCATTTTCATTGTTCCGAGTTGGTGTGTTTTCGTTCTGACTGATTCAATTGGAATCAGATTAATCTACATTATTAATCAAATGTAAAACAGCCTGTCGGAACCCGCCTTTTGAAGAGTAACCACGTTTAGTAACATTCAATGATGATATTTTTTTCAGGATCCGCAAAGAGTTTTCACGAACAACATCGTGGTTCGATTCCATCCAGGCTTGGAAATGGATGGAGATGAAGTAATCACGATCGTCTGTCGCTACCCTCCTCCGATAGCGCCCCCTCCTGCAGGAGTTCCAGCTCCAATGTAAGTCAAAATAACTCTTCATTTTGATGGATATAATTCAGCTCTGAAAAGGTAAAAAGACTGGCCGAGGTTTAGAATTCTTAACTCATAAGCCTTGTCCACAACGCTCTTGTCACATGTCCATTGCTTTTAAGTGCCGTATTCAGTTGGCATATAGTTCTGTTTGACAGAATGTAAAATCCCACTTTCCCATTTCTCTAAAGGGCGAATTGCGCCCTTTTTAACATTGTTTCTTATGCAGCTTTCCATAACACACCCCATCTTTTCTTCTCGTCTATAGTTCCGTTTGGCAGAAAAACGTCCATTTGGTAGTCAAATTGGATCTTAAGTGGACGTATTTCTATCAAACGGAACTAAGCGCCATTGGGGGAGGAAGGGAGAGGGGGGCCTGGATTGGCGGGTGTTGCGGAACGCGATGCTCGTTCCGACCTATACTCGCAATGCTTTTCCATGGCGCTTAGTTCCGTTTGACAAAACGTGCTATCCGGGATTCTAAAATCCTCAAAAGGAACTCAATTTGGCGCTTAGTTCCGTTCAACAGAAATCCGTCCAAGTAATAATGTTTCTTCAAAAGATGGCAGTGTCCTCTCTTGCCAATTTTGCGCAAAATCATCGGTCTTATAATTTTTCGATCATGTACTGATTTTCTCCTCCTTTGACTTTCCTCTGTTGCAGTATCGAGACACCACCGTCAATCCCTCTGGGGCCGCCTCTGAAAGGCTTCCAAATTCTACTTATAATCTGTGGAATCTTGTTCCTCTCACTGGTGCTGCTAGGTCTGGGCATGTCTTACTACTGCTTGAAGAACCAGCGCGTGCGAGTCGTGCGCCGTCACCCGCTCTCCATGGGCACCGGCTCGGACATCACCAAACTCTCCGGCTCCAGCATCGGCAACATCTCCATGTTCGAGGGCCTCAAGATCCCCAGGGCCCACGCCGCAGCCACCGCCGGAAGCACCTCCGGCTCGGAAGCAGCCCTCATCTCCGGCCCGGACACCATCCCCTCGGACTACCCCTCCGAGTCCCCCAGCTCCGCCCACTCGGAAGTCGAAGACGTCGACACCAGAAGCTTCCGCCGCTCGGTCAGCTCCGGAGGCTCCTACGATAACAAAGGCTACGTCCAGGAGGTCTCGAGCTTCTACTCGGAGAACTACGGTCAGTTCAGCGAGACGGAGGTGGCCATGATCCCGCCCGCCGAGCCCAAGTTCGACGTCCAGCTCCGCGTCAAGCGGGCGCCGCCTCCACCGCCCACCCCTACCCCGCCACCCTCAGACTCAGAGGCAAGCGTCCGCCTCGAGAGGAACCTCACCACCATCTTGGAGCGCGAGGAGAGCTTCCGCTCGGAGGCCGCCCAAGACATGAAGACGACTTTCACCTTCGTCCCAGAGCTCCATCCGCCTCCACGTATCGCCACCCCCGAGCCGCAGCCCATCTACTCGAAAATACTACGCCGACCGCCCGGTCAGAAAGTCGTGCCGCTCCCGGAAACGACCTCCCACTACCGGACGGAGGAGCACATCGACATCGAGCGCCGTGCACCAGTGACCGAGATCACCGACTCGAGGTACACGTCGGAGATCATGGAGAGGATCCAGAAGAAGCGGTCTCCGCCGCCTCCGCCGGTGACCAGCGAGACGTACCGCAGCGAGCTGGACATCCAGTCCACCGAGCTGATCGAAGCCCCGGTCATCCCGACGCGGAAGCCGGAGATAACGTCGCACGTCGTCGACGACGTCTTCCTGCGGACCATCACCGAGAAGAAGACGATCGAGGACATCGAGCGTCATCGCCGGCAGGTGACCGAGTACCACACGCGCCCCGCCCCGCCGCCGATCAACTGGGACGTCACCATCCGCAACTACCCCGACCCGAACGCTCGCCCGCCCTCCGTCGACGACACCACCACCGACTGGGACTCCTACTCCGAGACCTCCTCCGCCGCCGGGTTCCCGACCACCCCGAAATCCGAGCGCCATCTAGCACCCTACACCTCCAAGCACCACCGCTCCGAGATCGAGATCGACCGCCACTACTTGAGCACCCTCGACATCCCCATGCCGCAACCGCCGCCCACCAACTGGGACGTCTTGGTCAGAGTTCTGGAACCACCGCCGACCATGGAGCCGTCCACCAGCGAAGAGCGCACCTACAGGGTTGAGCAGAACCTCACGCTAGAGGACAGGAAGAAGTGGCGCGAGATCATCACGACCGAATCGACGCTCCGGACACTCCTGACCGAGGCCACGGTGAGGGAGGACTACGAGCGGATCCGCAAAGACCAGAAATACGAGCGGCTGTTCGAGCCGGAGAAGTGGGACATCATCATCCGGGTTCTGGCGCCGGAGAAGCCGTCGTACGACCAGAAGGGCAACGGGGCCTCGAACCGGTACCGCCGGAAGCAGGACTGGGACACGCGCAGCAGGCGGAGCTCCCTGCCGACTCTTTACGAATACGACTCCGACGGTGGCTCCTCCATACGGACCCTGATGGCCGATCTCCGGCATGGAGATCCCTCGGGTCGATCCCGAAGAACCTCCAGGTCCAGCCTCCGGTCGGACGTCATCGACGTGCGCTCCATGAGCGAGATGACGGTGGACTTTGCCAAGCCCGAGCACATCGACTCGATGAGCGATGGGAGCTCCTATTACCGGCCACGGCGGTTCTACGACGACGCCGTTGGTGACGACGAGGAAGGAAGCCTCGTGCGATCTGCTAGTCAGCCCTCCCTGGCGCGCTCTGCCTCCGAGTTCACCGAGCACTGGGGCCTCCGCCGCAGTTGGGACGTCGACAGCCCCGGACACTCGCCCCGGTCGTCGACGAGGTCCTCCAGGGATCGACACACCCGCGTCGAGTCCTCCTACCAACACCAGCAGCAGAGGGGATGGTTCGACAGTGTGCCCGAGCCCAGGTACAAGTGAGACCGCCCCCGCGATCAAGTCTGGTAGATTCGCGTCATGATTTTAAACTTCACCACGATAGATTATCCCGATAGAGTCGCCCTCAAAACAGTGCTCTAAAACATGCATTATTGAGTTCGCATTTGGCAATATTTAAACTACTGATACAATGGTCGAGGTGGGGTAAATATTTCGAATGCCGCGCTTGATGAGTTTCGGTGAAAATTACAGGAGCTGACGATTTTAGGTAAAAATTTCCCTTTTGGCGGGTACTGACAGAGTTACTTTTTAAGTATCTAAAATTTAATTTCGACAATTTCTCAAAGAAGTATTCCGGGCCTAGCATTCAAAATCTGGTGATAGCAGATTATTTAAAAAATCAAAGGGAATTTCTGAAAAAATTCAAATGTTTTCTTCTAGGATAAAATTTTTGAAAGCGACTCTTTTCTCACGCAAAGTAACAATTATCGGGTAAGATGTACCCGCTCGTAAAATTTTAAGGAGTATCACTTCTTTATATTCTTTATATTCCTTGAATGATAAGTCTATCGTTGGTGAATTTTCAAAATCATCCATGAATAGTGACGCTGAATCCACCTGCGAATTGTATTAGACGCTTTTGGAGCATATCTGATCAATCTCGAAGGATTTTTGATTCAGCGAAAATAAGGATAAATAAATATCCAGCCTTGAGAGGGAAATCCAAGGTATGGGTCCATATGCTCAAATCAAAATATATTTTTGTTTTTCTTTCCTCTTTTAAATTTTAAAGGACCATAGAAGAAAGAATATCCTTGAAATGAAACAGCATTGTACAAGTTTACTTAACTGAGTATGTAAGGCAGCGCGAAGTTGAGAACAGCAGATGAACATCGATTTTAAGAGTTTGCAGATTAACATTTCTGATTTTGTGATAGAGTGAATATCATTTTTAGGACTTTCTAGAAGTGAGGAAATACTTTAAAAGGAGGACCTCTGTAAATTTGCAGTCTGCACCTTGTCGATGATTTTCAGCTACCTCAGAATGGACGAGCGTGCTTTTTCTAATTTTAACTTTACAAATGAAATTGTAAGCAGAGGGCTGATTATTGAAATTGATAGATAAAGCTATAGACAAAGAAGACATAAAGAGCATGGAGCGATCCTCTTGGTTGAGACGGGTGCTTCTCATAGATTTAGGGGGAAATGACGGACTAACTGTCGGGTCCCTCGTCGGTTGCTGTTACTTAGTCTATTACTTATCTCCTCTGTCTAATCCAACCACCGATTTTAACCAAATTGATAGCTTCATTTTTCCGCTGTCTCCTATGTCTATCACTTTGTCTATTAACTTCAATAATCAGCCCGCAGTGCATGATACAGAGCTTTTTTGAGAGTATCTCGCTCTTTTGCGACATGGTTTAAAATTTAAAACATTTTAAATGCTCTTATTTTTAAACATGTTTTGAACTAGGGTGTAATTTAGAGGATTGTGCATACCTAAAATAACACAGTGAAGAATGAAAAAAAAACCCCATCCCATGTGGTCATAATCTCTTGGTACGACTTATATAAGAAGTGAAGTGGTTGTACAAGGCTCACTATTTTACGGACTAGTTAGGTTAAATTTGCAGGTTAAATTTTTCTCGGTGCTACTGTGTGGAAAATTATTTGAATATCAACCCTCAAGATTGTTTTTTTTAGTGCAAGGAAGCATATCTAAGTGTCAGTTCAAAAAAACTAGAGGTTTTCCCCTCAAAATCGCCTCTCTCAATGTTTCACCTATATGCAGTCATTCTAAATGGTATTTTAAGATTGTTTTCACTTTGCTGCTCCCGATGGCGAAAATAGAAAAATAGATAGAGAAATAGAGTTGACACTGTTCCATGTTCTAATTTAAGAAATTGCCGGTGATCATTTTTTACCATTAAGTAGTAAAGCAGTTTTGATCGAGACTGAATTATTTGTGTTTAATCCATGAATTGTTTGAAATACTATGAATCGAAAAGGGAGACTCAGATGAGTCCCTTAAATAGTTGCAACAATAGAGAGAAAATAAAGGACTAATTATAACAGTGCTAGTGCTTATCACGTATCGAAAGTCATTGTATGTCTATTGTCTCATCAACAATTTTAGAGCACTCATCCTTGGGAACAACATATTTTTAGCAACCGTTTTTCCCACTCGATTTCAACGCCAGAAAGTCCGTCCGCTAAAAGAAAGAAAATTATGCAAGCTTATGGTTAAATGTCTCAAAAATAGTGATTTATTGTTTGATCTCCTCGTAGCATACCTACTGCCGAAATCATTGGATTTTCTTACGTTAACTGTATTTCTATGATGCTTGAGAACGATATCACGTAGATATAAGCTTTCCTTCGAAAAACTGCCGTTTCTTAATCTCACGTACCTAACTGGTGATATCGATTGCACTGTTACTTATCCATGGTTCAATTCTCATCAAAACCCAGGCAATTTTGTTAGCAATTCAAAAAGAGAAATCTGTTGCCATCGGAACTGCCGCGCCGTTCCCTAGTTTTAAGATACGCTCACAGCAATATTTTAAAATATTTGATAATCATTCTTAAATTTGATAAACCTAATGTGCCAAACTAACACAGTAATGTAGGTTAAGGTAATCTAATGAAAGTACTAGTTTTAACCTTGATCTTGATATTGAAATTTTCGATTTTCCTTCAAAAAGTCGAATAGAAAATTATTTTTGTAAATATGCGATTTTCGTCTCTGACGTAGAAAATGAATGTGTGTTTTTTACTTTATTTTTCCCCCTTAACTTTTGTGCAATATCTCAAGGATCTATGCAGTGGGTTAGTCAATATTTAAGCCACAGTGTCCTCTTATTAAGCGTCCAGTCCGGTGTGAAACTTCTTAAAAGCATTGTTTGAATTTGTTTCACAAAAAAATTTAGTATTTTATTTTTTAAGAACTTTTTGGGAAAGACACGAACACATACACGCGACGTACACTGTGGTTGTAAGTTTACTTACCCAAGCAGATACATCAATTCCGTCATTATGTTATAATTATTTGAATTGTATTGTGGCAACTAAACCGATCGCTCAGAAGAGCCCATTTTTTTTCAAAGGAAAATTTGAATATTTCGAAAAGGCCTGCAGTATGTGAATCCCAACATATTTCGGATCTCCACCTTTGCAGGTATGATCAAGTTTCTTTTCGAAAAATAGGTATGGGCTCAAATGATAGTTTCCTTCCTTTTAGTTGATATCATACCAGTGATTTGTTCTTTTATCCTAGCATTTCATCAACCTGTCATTTTTCTTTTATTTTTGAAATTCTAAATAAAACAATAACAAAATCTCACTTAGAACAGACTTGTCATTCAGATTTCAAATCACCATTTATCAACTGTTGTTTGTTTAACTGGGAAAGGCAACTTTACCTAGTGCAGGAGGTTTTCGATGCAAGAGGATTCAGTGCTCTGGAGTCTTGATACCTCCTGGGCACTCAGAACCAACCACTAGCGGAACGTATGTGGCTTCACACAATTCTGAAGGCGTATGTAACCATGCAACTAATATCTGCATGACGAAGTATACGAAAACAAAATTTCAAATAACGGCATCTATTGGATGGTGATTGAGCAGCAAGTATTCCCTTGCAATGTTTAAAAATTTCCGCTTTTATTCAATTAATTTTTTTTTCACTTGAAATTTTTGTACGAAATTTACACAAATTACTCTGGATTTCTGGGAGCAACAAGGAAAAATCTATGAAATTTAATGAAGAGCCGGTGATTAATCGTCTTTACAGAGAATACTACGTAGGATGCCCTCTAGTCACCACGCGGCCCAACCCTTAGAGGGCGCAAAGCGCCCTCCGAGGCACGCTTTGCGGACCCCTATCCGTTAATTTAAACAAGGAAGGCTCATGCAGGGTCACCTGGAATAATAATGGATATTGACCGAGGAAAACGACAGAACAAACAGAAACAATTAAAAAATGAAAATTCGGGCGGTAAGAGAGCTTGTAATAATGATCATGCAGCAGGAACTCCAGATCATCTTAAACCCGGTACGCTTTTTTCAAGTTTCACCATCCACAATCTTTATGCACTGCCGTGACGAGGAAATAAATCAACTTAAGAACAATCCAAAGGTAACGATGTTCCTGGCACAGTCTTAAATTTTACAGAAAAACTTGAGTATCATCGATAGATATTTTCATGAAGTTGATTCGGACTTAAGGTGATTCGACGGTTACCATTTTTTGCGTTAAAGCGACGTGCGATATATCGCATCGATTCGTTCCATAATTTCAGCTACTTGTCATTTTTTTCGAATTTTGAGATCGCACTTCTGTTGTCATGAGACTAAAGCATTCATGTACCAAATTTTACATAGAAATTAAACGTAATAAAGGCGTGGTTTTTTTAGAGGAAAATTATCGCGTTTGATACTGATGTATCGAAACTGCACTCGAATGCGAAATTTTTCCCCTGAAAAAACTATGCCTTTAATACGTTGACTTTCTTTGTCTAATTTGGTGCGCGAATTCTTTAGTCTCCTGACAACAGAAGCGTGATATCAAAATTCGAAAAAAATGACAAGTAGCCGAAATTATGGGACGAATTGATGCGATATCGCACGCAGCTCTGACACAAAAAATGGCAACCGTCGAATCACCTTAAATCTAAACCACTTGATAAGTCCAAGAAAAAATCCTTAACTTCACTTACAATTAGTTTACTCGGGAGAAATTTGGCAACATTTGCACACTCGTATGGCATTCTTCCTCAACACGGCGGTGCAACACGGCCACTATGCACACTTCGGTGCTTTTATAAAAAAAATTCAAAACCACGTAAAGTTCATTAGCACCGTACGCGAATGCGCGGTTTGTCTTGAAGAGGGCAAAATACACGCCAGCGCCTCAGCATTGAAAAATAAAATCCTTTTCCCCTCATTGGGTGACGCAGCAAAGCACAAAAAACAGAGCCCTAAACATGCTTAACCTCATCTTGCTGAGGAGTGCAATGCCTGTTTTTTGTAAACATTCGCATTTCGCACTGCTCGCCGGCTTAATTTTTACAACTCGATGGGCGCAAGCGATAAGAGTTTGGCGACCCCTGTCTCTTGAGAGGAACGTGTTAAACTGCCTTTCTTTTTAGTCGCCGATTGGCGATAGTTCTGCATTCCGTGGTGTTGCATTGCGCTTTTTTTATTTTTTCCTAAACCAATGGACCCGGGACGCCCTTTTTCAAATGAAGGTATCGTCATCAAGCTTAATAGCGAGTTCAATATTCTTAACTAAATCATTGAGTTGAACTGAACCCAAGGCAACCATGAATTTTCTTTCTTTCCTTTTTAACTTTTCTGGTTAATTTCTACCTTCGGTGGAAATTAATGTGACCTCAATAGTCAAACTATTAAGGTCACATTAATTACTTTACTCTAAAAAAAATTAATAAATGAAAAGTAGAAAATAATGCATTATTCTTGGTTTTTCTCGAGTCTTTCGAACATTTTGTTCGTTGCGCAAAAATCTTTGCAATAATATAATAGAAAATGATCATAGACATCAGCATTATTACGACGTCATTATTAGCAGACACAAACGCTTCCTCGGTCGACTATTATATGCGCCGTGCCGACGACGACGTGACACGGTGACAGAGATGGTAACGCCGCGCCGTTCGTGCTTATAGCACGGCTGAAGATGCAACTATTCTACCTCGATGGATATGCGTGCTGCATACACTAAAAATTGAAGGCGTTTTCTCTTCACTAGCCCGTAACTCATCGCTCGTTAATAGAACGTAGAGATAACTTACTGGATTCGTGCGAATCTCTTGTAGGTTATGATTTATTAGGAAAGGAAAAAAAAGGAGAGGAGGAGATTAAAGAAGAGAAGGAAAAAATGAGTAGAGGATGTTAGGGAAGAACAAGGAGAAGGAATAGGAAGAGAAAATGAGGAGGATGGAGAGAGGAAAGAGGAGGAAGAATAAGAACAAGCGGTAGAAAGAAGAATAATAATACGAACAGAGGTAGAAAGAGGAAGAAGTAGATAGGAGAAGAAGAATAATAGGAACAAGAGATATAAAGCGGGGCAGGTAGAAAGATAATAGAAGAAGATTAGCAAGAATAAGAAGGAGAGGAAGAGGTAAAAAAAGGAAGACGAAGAAGATTAGTAAAAAGAGTAGGGGAAAGAGGAAGAAGAAAAAGTGTCTAAAAGAAGAAGGTCAAGAAAAAGTGAAAAAAAGAAGATGAAAATGATGCGGAAGATAAGGGGAAAAGGAAGAAGAGGAGGAGAAAAATGATGAGAAATGAATTAGTCTTTGTTACTCTTAACCTTTTTTTTCTTTCTTTTCCCCACTTCTCCTTATATTCTTTCTCTGCGCTTCATCCCCCTTCTTCCACTATTTATCTCCTCTCTCCCTCTCGATTTCTGATACGTCCTCATCTGACATAAATTAGGAGTCCTAAGATCCGAGGGTTTGAGACCAGGGATAATGAGTCGCCAGCGCAGGATCTCTATTTTTTAGAGTAATTGAAGCGCTGGATGTAAAAAGGACATTTCTTGGTTGCGAGTTTCATCCCTTATAACTAAGTGAAGCGTATGTCTGGAATTTTTTGAAACTTTTATTGAAGTTTCTTCGTGATTTTAAAATGCTGAAAACGAAAAATTTCAGAAAATTCACCCAATAGTTTCCTTTCCAAAATATAAATTAGCGGAGGGGATTCTGGAACACCGCAACCAAGAAATGCCCTTCTTGCACCCAACGCCTCAATTCGGCTACGAGCAGATACTTGAGATTCGTCCGCGGTGACTGTTAAGGAAAAGGGCTGCGCGAAGCAGGAAGCCGAGGGTCTGAACTTCTGAAGTCTCGGCTCGCTCACCAGATTACTATGTCGTTTTTCCCGTCTCGAATTTGAGGATGACGGAGGGGCGGGGGCCGGGGGGGCCGAGAAAAATGACTCCAGCCTCTGACGCATGCGCAGGAGTCAGCCCGAGTATTCCGCCACGCTCTGGTCCTTCAGTCAACGCTCCCGCATCTTCCGATCCGCTCCGTCCCTGCCCAAACGGGATTTCACGCGACGCGAATTTATCCGCAATCCACGAAAAACATCTCGCGTCCACCGATACGTTGTCTCGATGGATTTTCGGTTCTAAGCGGCGATCGTCAAAGTTTTTTCTTAACCGAAAGAGAGAGAGAAAAAATTGTAAGTTTCTCTAATAGCGCACCCCTTGTAAAAAATGGTCAAAAAGAGATTTGAAGAATTATGGGGGGGGGGTGTAAAAACTTTTAAAAATGCAGGGGTCAGTTGACAGTCTCCGACAAGTTTTAAAACTTTTGGGCTCAAAAAATTGTAAAAACACATAAAAATTAAAAGTGTAAAATACAGCACGTAAGCATGCGTGTAAAGAAATAGTGCACGGTAAAAGTTAAAAGTTTTGATTACAGTGTACACAAATAATCTTTTTACAGGTTTTTCAGCCTCAACCAAACCATAAAACAAAAAGTTACATTTGTAAAAAATTTGTTTTGTTTAAACTATTAAGTTAATGTACTTTTTCCCTTAATTTTCAGGGGCGTCCACAATTTATACTACTAGTGTTTTATCCGATAAAGCTGTCAAATATTGTCAACTACTCCATGCTTTTTCTTGCATATTTTTACGTTTTACTCTTTTCTTCTGCTACGAGATTGCGACCATTTTTGTCTCAATATCGTTTATTACAATTTTTTAGAGTGTAAGCAGAGCCCCAGTTGAAAAAACTCCCTCGAATATTCTGCAGAGCATTCGTATAGTACGAAGGAATTCGCTGCTGACATAAAAAACTCATTCAAAAACAGTGTGAAAGTTTGGAAATGACGGTTAGTGTCTCAAAAAGGAATCTCTTACCTTCTTCATTCTAGCATGAATCGGAGGACTAGTTAAATAGCAGATACTTTATTTACCAGCGTCTTGAGGTGGTTGAAATGGTGAGCAGTGCTGAATTATTTTACTGAATTGTATCTTGATAAGTTTTTACTTAAATACCGGAGGTAGCAAAATCTATTGCAAAGTGATCGCCATCAAAAAGTGTTCAATTTTTCAAACATGCGACGCGACAGACAATAATTGTGCGCCAGTACCTCGAATGGAAGAACACAAAAGTTGTGATCATTCGAAGGATCCTGATCAAGATAATGTATCCAGTATCTTTCCAATCTATTCAAGATCGTGGAAATGAAGTTGGGACGTGAGAGTGCGGACCGAATATGCTGTAAGCGATTGAAAAGGTGACACTCAAACATGGATTTTCGGAACTTGGTATGATGGACCATGTTGCATCACACTTCCTGATCATGAGTGAAAGGTAAGTTTCAAAGCATAACTGCTTAGAGAAGTAGATTTGTCTCGCTAACACTAGGGGCTGTTCATAAAATACGTGACGCTATAAATCTGATGTTTTGGATTCTCCCTTTTCTCGTAACGCAGCCATAACAAAGGTCTGCACTCCCCTGAAAAAATTACGTGACGCTCAGTTAGACACTGAAAATTAGCATTTTGTGATTCAATTTAGCCCTCTACGGCATAGCGTTATGAATTCGTAACAGCGTATTTTTGGGGTTTTTAAAAATTGAATCTTTACTCTGCAGCGTGATTTCGCAAATTTTCATTGGTTTTTTCTTATTTTGAAAAACTGATTTCCTTAAATTTAAAATTTTGAAAAAAAAGTTGCACTCCCTGTTTTTTAAACAAGCTACAAAATAGATTAGTGTCCCCTAAAATCTGAGATCCAAAATTAGTTCATGCCATAGAGGATTAACATAGACGAAATATTCCCACGTCGCATTGATTCATCGTATAAAATATTTGAGAAATTGCCGCTACGCGCTCACTCTTAAGTTACGAGACGCAGCCTTGGACATCCCATTCCCGCTCGGTAACGCATCCGTAGGTAATGCAGACTCAGATTCCCTCCAACCTACAGCGTTAAATTTGGTGTGATCGGACCTTTACTTAAGGTGCAATGACTCACATTGATCTCGCGAATTGGAAACCGTGTATCCTGGTTTGCAACGTTGCAAGTTTTCCGTCATACTTATTTCCTGAATTACGCATACTTGACGTAATTCCTCGAACATCTCCGTAGGTTTTTTTTCCTTTCGGAAAATTTCAAGCACTGAAATTAGCTCGTTTTCCTGCGATAAATTAAATAAGAGCAGAATTTTTTTAAATTTTTCGATTTCCGGGCATGGATTTCAAGTTTAACTGCATATCATTTAGGAAAAAGGAACCAGCGTGATTGCAGTGATGTGAAAATGTTGCTTTTTTATAATCATTTACAAATTCTCCTAGAGTAGCAAATATTTTTGGTTTTTCTCCTTTAAAATTGATAATAATAATTCCGTAAGTTTTAATACTGTACTTACATTGAGTATTTTTAAAAGAAAAGGAGAAGTTGTAGGTACCATTTTGAAAACACTGTAATCGGGCTGGTTCCTTTTTACTAAATGCGATCCAACTATCAACACATGTAATAATTCAACTGAGGTGAAACTAATTTAAAAAAATTCGAACTATTGTTTCAGTCATCAGGTATTCCTATGCTGTTACTGTATTCGCACCAGGTTTTTCTTGGAGTTAATAATAATTCTTGTTGCGGCAATCAGAGTTTGTTTGAAACAACCAGAATTCCACCGCGACCGAAAAGAAAATGCCAGCGCGGGCTGTATTTGTCTCACCATCCGAAACCCTTGCCATAATTTTCGTAGAACGCTCCTCCGCGTTCTGAGATTAATGACTCAATTTTGACTTTTTTTGGTCTTGGGTCCTCTTTCCCATAGGCGGTCACTTTTTTCCGGTTTTTTCAAAGGCAAAAAAATAAAATAAAATGTGAGTAGATTTCTTTTCCACGTGGCTCAATAGTTTATAAATACCGGACTCCGTATCTCATTTTATTAATCTATACGCATTCCCCATACAATACTCATCTAGAGGAAGTAGAATAATAAAGTTAAAGATAAGCACTTTGATACGGTATAATGCGTAAAATCTACTTATCCATTTACTTATTTCACTTATCTGTGTGTCACTGGGTTATTCGCATGAACGCAATTAGATCCAACTACGTAAGTAACGCAGTAACTTAGACGTAGTGGGTAGCGGGTGGCCGCTGGCAGTGCAACATTTTCATTCCTTTTCCACATTGCTCCTGCACTCCATGCACTCATCTGAAAGAAATCGTTCAAATTGATTCTTTTCAGGAGCAATTCCAGTTTATTGTTCCCTACTACATAGGAGGGTATTTTTATTTTATTCCCTTTAATTTGACAGGGTGATTTGACAGGATTTGGATATTTTGCGCAGGATTACCACTTGTGTGGTATTTGAAGTAGTTAAAAAAAAAATAAAAATAAAAAACATGGTTATAAACCGTACGTTTGGTCTCTACGTGGCCACAAACCGCATTTTCGAGAAATTTTTCCCCCTAAATCTACAATCAATAAAGGGCAGAAGCCTTTCACGACTGAATACACGATACATTTTTTTCAATCGTTACGGTCAGAAGTCTCTCCGTACTTATGAGCGTTCACCACGCCACGCGTATAGTGGACACTCTCTCCGGAGGTTTTTTCGAATTTGGACGTAACACTTTAACATGGTACAGCACTACCATCAGCCATCAGGAACCAGGATTCGAGTGATTTTAATGCATGTAGAGTCTGAATTTGACAGCCACAAATTCAAAAGGTTCGATGCGGTGATCGCTTTCCAATGTCCGAACGTTGGGATTAAATCCTTGTTTTTAATTAAGTCTCTTTCATTAGAACGTAAAATTGCTGCGAAAAAAAAGACTTCTAGCATTATTGGGGACCAGAACTTTTGTTCTACCATCGCAAATACAGAGTTGAGGCCGACTCAAATGCCTAGAAATTACACATTTTGATAGGCGAGAGGTTCCTAAATATAGAGGTGATATTTATAGAATAGAGGATTTCAGCTGGTCAATGGATCCTCGTCCTCTCGCAATTGTATAATGAATGGAGAGGGTATATTCGCTAATATTTGTTTCTGTTCAACAAAGTGTCCCGAAGAGCTCTCCTTTATAGTAGTTTTCAACTCGGGGGACTCGAGGCTTGGTTCCTGTGAAGTCTAGAATTTTTTGCGGAGCCTCAAATTGGACAGAGAGGTGTCTGAGTGGATTCGACATTGTCGAAGATGAAAAAATCGACAACGGAGCAAAGACCGGGAAGACTATTCTCTATTTATAAATTACTCCGACACCGCGCCGCAGCGCTTCATCGCTCCTGATGCACCAGTCCCAGAGTTGCCTCATTTTTGCGCAAATTGTAATTGCACTTTCGAAAAAAAAATTCGGTAGGAACAAAATAGTTCAGAAACGCCGGATGATCGTGGATGGGAAATGAGGCCTTGATCAGCAGTGACAAATTTTCAGTAATGACGAGTTTAAACGAGTAAAATGAGTTGAGCGAAAAATCAGATTTATTTTTAGGTTTCGACGAACACTCCCTCCAGTGTCCTACAGAATGCGTTCCGACTGGTGTAGCTCATTTTTGTAGTTATAAAAGGCGACTAGGTTAAAGTTGGCTGCAGGTGCTTGACACAAAGCCATTAAACAACAGAAAAAAAAGAGAAAAAAAGGCGAGTAGCTGCATTATAGTTCGACAATATTTTGTAACCTAAACAGAATAGATTAACTTGAATTTCGAACACTTGTTCTTTTAACAACGTTTGTTGATCTCCAAACTTCAAACCGGCACGACACCGGTTTGATTCGACATTTTTGAGCACTTTCCTCTCAAACTGTTTGTAGAACATCCTTTCACGAACCGATTGTTGATGTTTTTGTCAGCGCGACAAAACATCGAATGCAATGTATCGCAGGTTAAGGATATTGGGCTTTTTCTTATCCTACCAAGCAAGCGTAAATAGCACCAAAAATCGGCCCGCTAGGCTTTGGTTCCAATAACTCACAATCAGGTTTGAATTTCTGATTCTGTAGTCCAACATCCTTTTTCGGATCCTTTTCCATCGTATATTTAAATCTTTTAAGGTGTTTTAAGGATGACACCGCCAGGTATATTGATGATTACTGCAGGGCAACTTAAACTTCTTTAAACTAGATCTCGTGTCAAGGAAAGTCTAGATTCAGAGAGACTAGCAATAAAGAGCCCCCGCTCATTACAAGGTATGCAATTTGTGACTCACGCGTCCACACTGTGACTGATACAGCCATTGATGACAATCTATGATGAGAAAACATACACTTTTAAAGCTCTACACGAAACTCAAAGATGACTGATGCGCGGTACGTTGAGTACTTCGGTGGTGAAAATTGTAAAACACGTATTTCGATCCCTCCGGGTGGCTTTTGCAATGAGTGCGGTATCACTGAGATACTCAAGAAGCAAGTTTGGCTATCACTGAAAATGAAAAGAAATGAAAATATATCGTCGAACAACTTGTACTCTAATTTATTGTATATGTTTGCATTTTGCATCTATTTGGTAGTGACTATTGATAAATATTGTACTCTAAGCTTTCTAAGGGTATAGCTTTAAACAAAACAAAACAAAACAAAAAAAAAAAAAAAAAAATCACTGATAAGTAGCATAAATTTGTCCGATACCACCTCGAAAAAGAATGTATACATATACAGAGTCTCCCTGGTAAAAATTGGCAGTAGACTCTGTGTTCCAAAATACCATAGACCTACGGCCGGCTGTAAGATTTCCAATAGCTTCTATAGCCGGCTACACAATTTCTCATATCCTTTTATAGCCGATGGCGATTAAGCAACTCACAGCCAGGCGATAAAAGGTATGCTAAACGTCAGTAATTACGGATGCTAAGACTTAGTGAGTTTTATGACCACTGCTCTCTTTTTGGGCCGTAGTATCTTGATTTATTTTGCGAGGAAAGCTCCGTACTTTTGATGGATGCCTGCCATTCCTAATATATTAGAGCGCCCTCAGTTTCGTATGATACCCTACAAACCTAACAGGGATACCTCACGCGTTGCGCAATGCGTGAAGTATCCCTGTTAGGTTTGTAGGCGCCAGTGCGTCGCGTCGCCGCTTCGCTCTGTGTTAGGCTCTAATATTTAATCTGGCGGCGTCAGCGTTTTTCAACTCACGATTTTGAAATGTTTGCACATCCTGTATGGATTATTCTCGTTTTAATTGATGAAAAAAATATGTATTAAAGGAAAATATAACGTGTGTTTTGTAAATATTAAGGTGGTACCGTATCACACTTAATGATTTCCAAAGCACACGAATTTCTACACAATTTCTTGTAGCCTTTTATAATCGATGGCAAAAAAGCAACAGCCAGGCGATAAAGTGT